TGGTTCATTCTTTGGAGAGAAAATTCTACATACTAGAGTTGCATACTAGCCTGAGAAGTTCAAAAAAGCATCCCAGAGAAAAGAAAAGGCATTTTTTGCAAAAAGCCTAGATGGATATTCCCATGAATTCATTTGGAGTCCTTTAGTGATTGGACCCTGAATCTGGGTCTATCTGCGTCTATGGAGATTCTCAGTAATCCAGGTCATGGTTGTCCCAAAGGTGCTTTTTCAAAAGGCAACTGGATTTTGTTTTTTCTTGAAGATATTTTGCTTCTCATCCAAGAAGCTTCTTCAGTTCTGAAATGTCTTCAAGGAAAAACAAAATCGTTGCCTTTTGAAAAAGCACCTTCGGCACATCCTGAATGAGTCTGTTTCTTCAGCAGGTATGAACCAAGTAGCATTCTATTCATTGGATGTGCCCATTCATACACAAAGAGTCTTACTTTTCACTACAGCCTTTGAGACTCTGATTTTGCTCTGGCGGCTGAGGAAACTATCTAGAACAGGCATGTCAAACTGCCGGTCCCTGGGCCGGATGCATCACGCTGAAACCATACCCACCCCATTGCCGGCAATGGGGAAAAAGTCATGCGACGTTGCAAGTTTGACATGCCTGATCTAGAATAATGTAATCTGAGGGAAAAGAGAAGTCACAGCCTACATTTTACACAATCCAAGATTGTCAGCCCTATCAGTGGATAGAACAAGATCTATCAGGCAGTACTTTGTAGTTCCTGGAAGTAATATGGGGCTGTTTGGACTATGAATGTATTCAAATCAGAATTATGAATAAAAATAGACAAGAAAAAAGAATTAAAAGATAGGAAAAATTCAAGGAAAAATCCAGATAAAAGTGCAGGGAAAAAGAAATGAAAAAGTAAAAAAACAGTAAATGAATAACTTCCTACTTTTTTTGATACAGATATAGATAAAAAATACATCAAACTCTTACTTTAAAATTACCAATACTCCATATTATTTCTAAAATCCCACTTAATTCTAATCAAATTCCAAAATCACAATTTCATTTCCTTCATATTCTCACAAAAAGTCCAAAGGTAGTCTCCAAGTAGGTTATAAAATTAGTCAAATCTTATATTTAGTCAAAGCTGTCAATTTCACCATTTCCACCAATTCTATATACTTAACCATCCATTCTTCCATTGTAGATATTTCTAAGTCTTTACATTTTTGTGCATATAAGATTCTTGCCATTGTTATCATATATAAAAATAAAATTCCAAAAGATCTTTGAATCTGTTTGTATATTAACCAGGAAAGGAAAATGTCTGGTTTCAACTATACATTTACTTTTAAAAACTTCTGAATCAAAAATCAAACTCTTGTAGTGTAGCCTTATGTATGAAATTGGCTGTTGCAGAGAATTGTATCTTACAGATGAGTCTACTATTGGCTTTCTGAGCTCTCATTAATTGTCTGAGGGCCCTTCTACAAAGCTCTTGGGAAGGCAGCCCATGAAGTTTCCTGAGGTCATGGCATGGAATGATTCAGGCACTTGCTTGCTATGTGGATCCAGATGTGGCATTATATAGCTGAGTCAGCAGAATAAATTTTAGCTTTAAATCTAGCTATTTGAGAGCTCTGTGGTAAAGCATAACCCCAAATTTCTCCTTCTTTGTTGATTTCTGAGCACAGAAATCTCTTAACTGCTCCAGTTTCAAAGGTTTGCCAGTGCTGAATTTTGAAAGGTCTTCAGGTGGTGGACATGGCTTGAAAAGGCTTAAAATCCAGAAGTCAACTCTGCAACGAACCTGAATGAAGCCATTTGCTTTGTTTTTGGTTGCCACCAGAATGGGGGGGGTGGAAATTTTCTGCTAGCTTAAACAATTATCTGTCCTGTGGGAACCAAGGTCATTTCTGTTTGTTAGACTGAGAAACTATTCTATTGGGAAACGTAGATGATTGCATAGTAACAGGGTAGGAAATTTAACTTTGTATACTGTAACTTTTTGGAGGAAACTTTAGTTTTGGTTTCACTTTTGACAGTGCCAATACTTTGTAGCCAATAAACATGTTCTTAAAGGAAACATTAAGCCTCAGAGTTCTGTTTTACTTGGTCTCATCTATCAGAATTTTAAGACTCCTTAAAATTTTATACTTGGGGTCCTGAGCCCCAGTCACCCATCTAACTCTGTAGGAGGGTGACAAAGACTCAGGGAAAAAATGGAGAGGAGACGAGAGTTGTCCTCTGGCCTCAATGCAACAACGGCAAAAGGAACGCAGGCTACCACTCAGGCAAAGAGCGGGGCTCTTGTTGCTGGAGCTGCTGAGGCAGCATTCCCACTGATTTCATCCCATGGCCTTCGTTCACCTATACTGAAAAAGGTGAAGCGGCCAGCTGGCTGGAATGAATCAGGGGAGTGAAAATACCTGACTGCCCTCCACGGCCACTCTGTCAAGAGGTTTAGAGAGGAGTCCAACCGACTCGAAGTGGGAGTTGTGGAGCTGACTGCTCGCCACCTGATCTCCAGTGGACAAGACCACAGGAGCTCCCCAATGCTCCTACCTCCCTGGCGAAGCCCACGCTAAGTCGTGATGGCTCGGGCTGCTTCACCGCTACCCCGGCCAATCGGCATCGAGTCCAGTGCACCAGCGTAGCCCTGTCCTACAAGCCCTGAAGCCCAGCTGAGGGTGTTTCACAATGTAGCTATCCCCTGATTCCAGTGCCAATGACCGGGTATGCAACAAGCCTACTGGGGACAACAGCCTGGAGACCCACCTCCTATCAAATCCAAATTTGATGGAGATCCTAAGAAGCTGTCATTTTTCCTGAACCAAGTGTGGGCTCACCTGAACCATTATCCTCCCACCTACCCCAATGGTGCCAGGATGGTCAATGTCATGGCAGCCAACCTAGATGGGGAAGCAACCAAGTGGGTGACCACCCTGCATGATGAACAAGCACCAGAACTGTGGAACATTAATCTGTTTATGGGTGAACTGAGAGCCAGGTTCGAAGATGAGTCCCTAGCTCGGCAAGCTGAGGATATCCATAACCTGAAGTAGAGAGGGAGACCAGCCAAGGACTTTGTTCAAGAGTTCCCAAAGGTGGCTGGCAGGCTCAGACAGTGGCCAGAGCCATTGCTGATCCACCACTTCAAAGCTGAGCTAGACCATGATTTGTTTCAGGCATGCACCGACTGAGGAGTTCCTGATCAGCTCCATGAATGGTACCGTGTGGCTATAACTTTAGACATCGAACTGGACTGCCACCAGAGGCCCACCATCTCTGAGCCCAGACCGAAACAGGTCGAGGAGAGATGACAAGTGGTCCGATGCCCTCAAGCTACTGCAGCCACCAGTTCCTTTCGGCCATCAGTGGAGAACCCGATCAAGTGCTTAAGATGTGGCCAACTCAAGACACCGAGCTGCTGATTA